TCAGGTTCACTAATCTTTTCTTCTGAACTTTCTGTTAGTGATAGTGCACCTCTTAAAAAATGTTATACTTGCCATCTCTAGAACTTCAGTTTGTCCCTTCTATTTGTGCCATTTCTCAACTCAAAATGTCCAATCTTTCTTCTACCTTCTTGAACATGTGGAATCTAGTTATAATAACTGTTGAATGCCTTTACTAATTCTAGCATCTGTATAATTTCTGGTCTTTTTCTATTGATTGTTTCCCACCCCCCACCCCCAATTCTAGGTTATATTTTCCTGCTTCTTTGCATATCTACTAATTTTTTTTATTGGATGCCATACACTGTGACTTTTATCCTCAGGTACTGGATATTTTTTAATTTCTATGAATATTACTGAGATTTGTTTTGGGATGAAAAGTCCAGTAAAGCAAAAAATATATATAAGGATAAACTACTTGGAGAAAAAATATAAACTGTCATTTACAGGTGGCACAACTGTACTTGAGAAAATTTTTTTAAAACTATTAATAAATTAGTAGAATTAATCACTTAATTTATCAAGAAGTATAGATAACTGGTAAAGCAAATCTTTACTAAAGACTATGATATTTCTTTATACCAATAGCAGAAAGCTAAACAATGAAAATATTTGAAAGATATCGTTAGAATTAAAAACACAAAATACTAAACACAAAGGAATAAATCTGGGATGCTTGGGTGGTTCAGCAGTTTAACTTCTGCTTTGGCTCAGGTTGTGATCCTGAGGTTCTGAGATCAAATTTCACATCAGGCTCTCCATAGGGAGGCTGCTTCTCCCTCTGCCTATGTCTCTGCTTTCTCTGTGGGTTTTTCATGAATAAACTAATAGAATTTCTTTAAAAAAAAAAAGGAATAAATCTAATAAAAATGGGTAAGACTTCTACACAAAATTATAAAACCACAAAGAGCATTTTAAGGAGATCTAAATTACTCTCCAGAAAGAAAAGTGGAGGAGTTGGAGGGGCAAGATGCGAAGAGCAGGTCCCCCAAATCAACCTGTCCCCACCAAGTTAACCTAGATAACCTTCAAACATCCTGAAAATCTACGAATTCAGCTGAGATGTAAGAGAGACCAGCTGAACGCTACAGTGAGAAGAGTCTGCGCTTCATATCAAGGTAGGACGACGGGAACAAGAAATAAAGGAACAAAAGGCCTCGGAGGGGAGGGGCCCCGCGAGGAGCCGGGCTGAGGCCCGGGGTGCTAAGTCCCCATGACAGGAGAGCCCCGTCCGGAGGAGCAGTAGCTGCAACAACCTTCCCGGGCGGGCGGAAAGGGGCTCGCAGGGAGTTGGAGCAGACCCAGGAGAGGCGGGGATGCCCTTCGGGCTCCCTGGACACTCACAGACACCTGCGAGCGCAGAGAGACGCCGAGTCTCCCTAATTGGCAGCAGCGCGCACGGAGACCGACCGGAGGCAATCTCGTGAGGGCTCGGAGCGCTCCATAGAGGGAGCTGCAGGGCGGGAGCGCGAATCCACCAGCGCAGTGCCCCGGAGCAACAGGGCGCCGGACACAGCCCAGGATATCCGGCCTCCCCCGGGACAGGCAGAGGCCGGAGGGCCCAGGACAGCGAGGACGCTCCTCCCCGAGCTGAGGCAATCTCAGCGGCCCCGCCCCGGAGCCTCCAGGCCCTGCCGGACGGAGAGCCGAGAGCCCCGAGCCCTGTTTTCCTGCGGAGGCTTGAATACCAGGCTCCGAGAGTTGCCAAGAGCAACTGCTGCTGTACCTCCCTGGGTCGCCACGGGTTAAACAACCCCCGCTGAGCCCTGCAGCTGGCAGGGCGAGCAGCTCCCCCAAGTGGCTAACACCTGAAAATTACACAGCAGGCCTCCCCCAGAAGACCAGCTTGGAGTACAGTGATACTCCCCGTGTTCCAAAACAACTTGTTTTTGGCCACTCTGCACTGAGCAAAATGACTAGAAGGAAAACCTCCCACCTCAAAAGAAAGAACAGAAACAGGCCTCTTTCCCACAGAGTTACAAATCGGATTACACTTCAATGTCAGAAAGCCAATTCAAAGCACCATAGATACAGCTTACTGTGGCTCGATAAAACAGCAATAAGGCCTCACGAGACTTCATGACTGCAAATTTAGATACAATCAGGCAGAAATTTAAAAATCAATGAATGAGAATGCAATCGAAACTAGAATCCTAACGACGAGGGTTAACGAGTTGGAAGAAACGAGTGAGTACATAGAAGACAAGTTAATGGCAAAGAGGGAAACTGAAGGAAAAAAAGAGATAAACAATTAAAGAACCATGAAGACAGATTTAAGGAAATGAACACACTCTAAGGAAGAAAAACCTACGTTTTAATTGGGTTCCCGAGGGCTGCCGAAAGGACAGAGGTCCCAATATGTATTTGAAGCCAAATACCTACTGAAAAACTTTCCCAATCAGGAAGGAAACAGGCATTCATATCCAGAAATAGAGAGATACCCCCCTAACATCAATAAAAACCGTTCAACACCTCGACATCTAATAGTGAAGCTTGCAAATTCCAAAGATAAAGAGAATATCCTTAAAGCAGCAAGAGACAAGAAGTCCCTGACTTTCATGGGGATGAATATTAGGGTAACAGCAGAACCTCTCCACAGAGCCTGGCAGGCCGAAAGGCTGGCAGGATATATTACAGGGTCCTAAATGAGAATAACATGCACCAAGAATACTTATCCACAAGGCTCTCATTCAAATGGAAGGAAGTAAAGAGCTTCCAAGACAGTGCAGAACTGAAAGAATATGTGACCACCAAACCAGCTCTGGCAAGAAATGTTAAGGGGGACTCATAAAACTCCCTTTAAGAAGAAGTTCCAAGTTAATCTGAACGTGAATGGGCTTAATGACCCCATCAAAAGGCGCAGAGTTTCAGACAGGAATAGAAAAAACAGGACCCCTCAATTCTGCTGTCTACAAGAGACTCATTTTAGACCAGAAGGACACCTACAACCTGAAAAATGAAAAGGTTGGAGAACCACACCATTCAAATGGTTCTCAAAAATATACCCTAAAAACCAACAGAACACTCTGAAAGAAATTGAGGAAGACACAAAGAGATGGAAAAAATATTCCATGCTCATGGATTGGCTGAATTAATATTGTGAAAATGTCAATGTTACCCAGGGCAATTTTACACTTTAATGCAATCCCTATTCAAAATACCATCGGGACTTTCTTCAGAGACTTAAACAAATTATTTTTAAGATTTGTGTAGAATCAGAAAAGACCTCCAAACAGCCATGAATTTTAAAAAAGAAAACCATATCTGGGGGCATCACAATGCCAGATTTCAGGTTGTACTACAAAGCTGTGTCATCAAGACAGTGTGGTACTGCACAAAAACAGACACATAGATCAAAGAACAAATAGAGAACCCAGAAGTGGACCCCCTGAACTTTATGCTCAAACAATATACAATAAAGGAGGAAAGACGAACCACTAGAAGGAAAGACAGTCTCTTCAATAAATTGCTGGTGAAAATTGGACATCCACATGCAGAAGAAATGAAGCTGGACCACTCTTCCAAGCACCATACACAAAGATAAACTCAAAATGATGACAGATCTAAATGTGAGACAAGATTCCATCAAATCCCAGAGAAGAACTCAGGCAACACCCCTTTTTTGAACTTGGCCACAGTAACCGGAGAAGGACAAACAGTGAGTTCTCATTCATTTGGGAATATGAATAATAGTGAAAGGGAATATAAGGGATGGAGAAGAAATTTGTGAGAAATAGTCAGAAGGGAGACAGAACATAAAGCCTTTCTAACTCTGGGAAATGAACTAGGGTGGTGGAGGGGGAGGAGGGTGGGGGATGGAGTAATGGGTGACGGGCACTGAGGGGTAACACTTGACGGGATGAGCACTGTTGTTATCTGTATGTTGGTAAATTGAACATCAAATAAAAATTTAATTATAAAAAAAAAAGAAAAAAAAGAAAAAGAGGAGAGAAATTTTTTTATTTTAGTAGAACAAATTTAGAATGAAGTTAAAGAAATACATATAGGATCCTCAAAGAGATAGAGAATAAGATCCACCTTTTAAAAAGAAATTATAAACATAGTTGCAAACCAAATTAATGTTTATTCTTATGCCATAAATTACCACATACAAATAATTTCAATAATAATGTATGGCTTGAGGCACCTGGGTGGCTCAGTCATTTAAGCATCTGATTTTTAGTTTCAGCTCATGTTGACTGCAGGGTTGTGACACTGAGATGCACATTGGGCTCCACGCTCAATGCAGAGTCTGCTTATCCCTCTCCCTCTGCTCCTCCCTGTGCTCACTCGCTCTCTCATAAATAAGTAAAATCTTTAAAAATAATAATAGTAGTATGGCTTATAATAATGAGGCATATAGCAGCAATGTCCACAATAGCCAAACTGCGGAAGGAGCCTCGGTGTCCATCGAAAGATGAGTGGATAAAGAAGATGTGGTTTATGTATACAATGGAATATTACTCAGCCATTAGAAACGACAAATACCCACCATTTGCTTCAACGTGGATGGAACTGGAGGGTATTATGCTGAGTGAAGTAAGTCAATCGGAGAAGGACAAACAGTGTATGTTCTCATTCATTTGGGGAATATAAATAATAGTGAAAGGGAATATAAGGGAAGGGAGAAGAAGTGTGTGGGAAATATCAGAAAGGGAGACAGAACATAAAGACTCCTAACTCTGGGAAATGAACTAGGGGTGATGGAAGGGGAGGAGGGCGGGGGGTGGGGGTGAATGGGTGACGGGCACTGAGGGGGGCACTTGACGGGATGAGCACTGGGTGTTATTCTGTATGTTGGTAAATTGAACACCAATAAAAAATAAATTTATTGTTAAAAAATAATAAAAAAATAAAGGGTTAAAAAAATGAAAAAATAAAATAAAATAAAATAATGAGGCATATATGTCACAAGCAAATTTTTTAAGTCCTAAGTCTTGGTATTAGATATAAAGAACATTATTTTGGTATTCACAAATTACCTGATAATCAGCAGGACCAGGAGCACTAAAAGCTTCTTTCTTAACCAAGAAGAGAGTCCGAGGAACAGAAGAACCAAATGCACTTTTCTTTTGTTTCTTCAAGCAGGTATTGCTAACGTTGTCAATTATAGTATTGTTTAGGGTATTATAAAACCCAGGACCTAAAATCATGAGGAATATCATATTAAACATGCTTTTAATTTTTTAAAACTAAGTAACCTAAATTAAATAATTGTTTTTAGAAAGAACTCTCATATACTGCTAGCAGGAATGTAAAATGATATGACATTTAGAGAAATAATTTGTCAAATTTTTATAAAGTTAAACAAATACTTAGTATATGGCCCAAAATTCTACTCCTGGGTATTTTTTCAAGAAAAATGAAAACAACCCAAATGTCCATCAGCTGGTGAATTTTTAAAAATGTGCCAAACCAAAAAAAAAAAAGGCGCCAAACCCATGCAACAGAATACTATTCAGCAATAAAAAGGAAAGGAAATATAAATGCAACAACATGAATGATCCTCAAAAACATGATGCCAAGTGAAAGAAAATAGATAAAATCCAGACTAATGTATGATTCTATTTATATGAAGTTCCAGAAAATGCAATATCATAGTGGCAGAAACAGTAGCCTGGAGTGGGTGGAGATTAACTGCAGAGGGGAATGAGAGAGCATTTTTAAAATGATGGAAATGTTCCAAAATTTAATTGTAGTGGTGTACCTGACTTACATACATTTGCCAAAACTCATCAAACTACCCACTTAAAATTAGTTATTTTACTGTGTAAATTATTATTTTCTGTGTAAATTATACCAAAAGAAAGAAAGAAAGAAAGAGAAAGAGAAAAAAAGAAAAGAAAAGAAAAGAAAAATTAATTCTCGATGCTATAAAGTATTGAAGAGTTGATGTAGTAACATTAGAAATCAATTTGGCCTGGAATGACTTTGTCTAAGAAGGGCTAAAATATCACTTCCACTGCATGCTACTGGTCAAAAAAGACACCAGAGGAGCCAAGATTGGAAAGGAAAATAAAAGACTCAACTTCTCAATGGCATGAGTAGTAAATAATTTTGTACCAGAATAGACTTACCATAACAAATTACCATAACAAAACTTACAGCAATGGTTTGAGATTAAGCAATGAATGGCTCAGAAGCTAGAACAACTCAAGACTCAGAAACAGGGCCATAAGAGGACAGATGATGGCTTAAAGGACAGGAGGAAATGTTACCAGAGGTTGGAGAAAAGATAACTTGTATAATAGAATGGCAGAGATTTTAACAAAACTAATGCTTGAGATAATGAAGAAAATACTTAAATAAGTAGTTTTTGGCTAAGAAAGTTTCCAGGCTGAATATCAAAAAAGCCAACCAGTTGTTTTTATCCCTGTATAAAAAGGTATGGAAAGAAAAAAAAAAAAGGTATGGAAAGAAAGAGATGAGTTAAAACTGTTGTTTTCAAGGGGAATTTATAAGAAATGAAAAGAAATCAAAATTTTCTGGTCTGAAAGTAAAACTGTTTTTCATTGCATCTCTCCATATAGCAAAAAGCTCTCAAAGAAAGAAATGGCCTTGAGAGATCAAAGACCAAATCCAGGGTTTCGCTGTAAGAACCTTTGTTAAGAACTCAGAAAGATTTAAGATGGTATGTCATAGAATCTCTCAGTTAAAGGAAAGTCTTCTAAGAATTTTAAGACCATATGTCAATGACTTTAGAATCTAGGAGCATTGAGGGGCACCTGGGTGGCTCAGTGGCTGAGCATCTGCCTTCGGCTCAGGGTGTGATACCAGTTCTGGATCCAGTCCCACATCAGGCTCCCCGTGAGGAGCTTGCTTCTCCCTCTGCCTATGTCTCTGCCTCTCTCTCTCTCTCTCTCTCTGTGTGTGTCTCATAAATAAATAAATAAAATCTTAAAAAAAAAAAAAGAATCTAGGAGTATTGAAACTACCAGCACTACCAAAGATGACCCAAAGTAGACAAGGGTTTCCCTAAGAAGTACATTTGAGTGTGGCTTTTATCCAGGGTATTTGATTCTAATACAATAAGATACCTACAAAGTTTTCATATGGAATTGTACAAACTTTGAAAGAAAGGGACATCAACAGTGCAATATGAAAAGTGGCTATAGAGCCTAATCTTCCATAGGCATCAACAGTACAAAATGAAAAGTGGCTATAGAGCCCTAATCTTCCATAGGCAAGAAGCAGGCTGAGAAAGCTCCAACTGCAAACACAGCTTATTTCTTTGAGATTTTTTTTCTTGCTTCTTGAGGTAGATCTGTATTGCTACATACTTCCCTCTTAGGACCACCTTTGATGCATCCCAAAGGTTTTGCACCATTGTGTTTTTATTTTCATTTGTTTCTATGTATTTTTTAATTTCTTCTTTGATTTCCTGGTTGATTCATTCAACTTACAGTAGCATGTTGCTTAACTTCCATTTATTTGTGGTCTTTCCAAATCTGTTCTTTTGGTTGACTTCTAGTTTCATAGTGTTGTGGTAAGAAAAGGTGCATGGTATAATTTTAATCGTTTTGTATTTGTTGAACCTGTTTTGTGACCTATTCTGGAGAATCTTCCATGTACACTTGAAAAGAATATATGTTCTGCTGTCCTAGGATGGAATGTTCTGTATATATCTGTTAAGTCCATCAGGTCCACTGTGTCATTCAAAACCATTGTTTCCTCATTTATTTTCTATTTAGATGATCTACCCATTAATGTCAATAGGGTATTAAAATCCCCCACTACCATTATGTTATTATCAGTTAGTTCCTTTATATTTGTCATTGTTTTATATATTGTCATTGTACTCTCATGTTGGGTACATAAATATTTACAATTGTTATATCTTGTTTGTCCCTTTTATGGTTATATAATGCTCTTTTCTGTTTCTTTTTCAAGTCCTTATTTTAAAGTCTAGTTTGGGAGGCACCTGGGTGGCTCAGTGGTTGAGCATCTGCCTCCAGCTCAGGGCATGATCCTGGGGTCCTGGGATCAAGTTCCACATAGGGCTCCCCATGGGGAGCCTGCTTCTCCCTCTATGTCTCTGCCTCTCTCTGTGTGTCTCTCATGAATAAATAAATAATCTTTAAAAAATAAAAATAAATATAGTTTGGGGGCACCTAGGTGGTGCAGTCAGTCAAGTATCCAACTCCTGGCTTCGGCTCAGGTCATGATTTCAGGGTCGTGAGATCAAGCCTAAAGTCTAGCTCTGTAATCAGCTTGGAATCTGCTTGAGTTTCTCTCTCTCTCTCTCTCTCTCTCTCTCTCCTCCTCCCTCCTCCCCCCCATGCTGACTCTTGCTCTCTCCTTCTCACTTAAATAAATAAATAAATAAAAAATAAACAAACAAATAAATAAATAAAGTTCATCCACATAAGTATTGCTACTCTGGCTTTCTTTTGACATCCATTTGCATGATAAATGTTTCTCCACCTCCTCACTTTCAATCTGCAGCTGTCATTGATCTAAAAGGAGCTTCTTGTAGGCAGCATATAGGTAGCTCTTGTTTGTTTAGCCATTGTGACACCCTACAGCTTAGATTGGAGCATTTAGTCCACTTATATTCACAAAGTAATTATTGATAGATATGTATTTATTGCCATTTTATTACTTGTTTTGTCATTGTTTCTTTTGTCACTGTCATACTTAACTGTCTTCCTCACTTTTGGTCTCTCTTTTGCACTCAAAAAGTTCCCTTTAATATTTCTTGGTGTAGTGGTCATGAACTCTTTTAGTTTTTGTTTCTCTGGGAAGCTCTTTATCTCTCCTATTCTGAATGACAGTCTTACTGGATAGAGTAGTCTGACTGCGATTTTTTCCATTTAGCACTTTGAATATATTATGCCACTTCCTTCTGGCTTGACAAGGTTCTGTTGAGAAATGTCCAGCTAGCCTTATGGGTCTTCCCTGGTAAGTTAAGGACTTCCTTTTGTCTTGCTGCTTTTAAGATTGTTTCTTTATCGCTATATTTTGTAAATTTAATTACAATATGTCTTGGTGTGGGCCTACTTTTGTTGATTTTGATGGGAGTTCTCTGTGCCTAATGGATCTGGATGTCTGTTTCCTTTCCCTGATTAGGGAAGTTTTCTGCTATTATTTCCTGAAATAAATTTCCTGTTCCCTTTTCTCTCTCTTCTTCTTCTGGGACTTCTATAATGTGAATGTTATTATAGCTATTGGAGTCACTGAATTCCCAAAGTCTACTTTCATGTTCCATAATTATTCTTTCTCTCTTTTGGTTCACCTTCATTATTTTCCATTATTTTGTCTTCTAGGTCACTAATTAATTTCTCTGCTTCTTCTGGCCTGCCATAATTGCATCAAGCCCATTTTCAATCTCATTTATTATATCCCTCATTTCTGATTCAGTCTTTTTTAACTCTTTTATCTCAGTGGTAAAGGTCCCCCTAATGTCTTCCATTCTTTTCTCAAATCCAGTGAGTATCAGTATTATTGCCGCTTTAAATTCTCCATTAGGCACGTTACTTGTATCTGTTTTGCTTAGATCCCTGGCCATAGCCTTATCTTGTTCTTTCATTTGGAATAAATTCCTCTGTCTTGGCATTTTGTCTAAGTCTCTGTCTTCTGAGAAAAGCCAGTTATGTCTCCTGCTCCTGAAAGTAACAGCCTTATGAAGAAGCCATTTAGTGCCCAGGGCCTGGTGCTTCAAGGAATATCTCTGGTGTGTGCTGCATGTGCTTTGTCTGCTGTTGTGTTTTGGTTGCTCTATTCTTCAGGCCAGTTGTCTGTAGAGGCTCTCCTTGTCTGCTATGGACAGTGTTTGGTCCCTCGACTGAATGTAGTGAGTTTTAACTAGGTTCACTCTAGTCTGCTTATGAAATGAGACCTGACACCAATTCTGCCAGAACTGAAGCCCTGTAAAACTCTCTGGGTAGGAGATATGGTGTAGGCAGGGGTTTGTGCTGGTCTTCTGGGGGAAGGGCCTGCCATGCTGGGACTGAGGCAAGCTTGACTGAGAAGGGCAGTCCTGCCAGAGCATGGGGGGTGGGGCTTGGTGTAAGCAAGTTAGACAGCCAGAAACACAGCCTATTTCTTATAGAAAAGGAAGGATGATTCAAAAGATGGAAACAAAAGCCCAAAAGGTAAAAACAAAACAAAACAAAAACTTGGAAAGTCATTCCCAGGGAGCCCAACTGGGTCCTAATGGGGAAATTACAAAAACTGCCTGATTGGATTTCATAATTGCTATGGGCCTATAACTGTTACAGGCCTCCAGTTTTCTCTTTTCTGAATAAAAGCATCTAGTATGATTATTCTATTTTTCTCCTATTGCTGTGTTTTGAGATGTGAAAGGCAGATAATGTGTCTTTAGTTCAGAGCTCTTCTGACAGAGGGAAGTCATACTCAAGAAGCTAATCTGAAGTACCACACCCAAGATGCCTGGGTGGCTCAGGGGTTGAACATCTGCCTTAGGCTCTGGGTGTGATACTGGAGTCCCAGGATCAAGTCCCACATGGGGCTCCCCGCAGGGAACCTGCTTATCCCTCTGCCTATGTCTCTGCCTCTCTCCTTGTGTCTCTCATGAATAAATAAATAAAATATTTTTTAAATAAATAAATAAATAAAGTATCACACCCAAGAATTCTCACCTATAGAGATACAGGACTTAGATGTCAAGATCCTGGACTTCAAGATTATACCATATTACATGAAACTTGAAGGACTTGAGAAGGCATATAGGACAACTGTAAATATTTTGTGGGAAAAGTGTAGTCTATAATAAATTAAAGATGGCCACAAATTCTTTACTACCCATGTCATTGACAGATGAAGTGTCAAGTTCTTCTGTTCAAAATGTGCTGCCCTGAGTGACCTGATTAACAGAATGCGGAACTTCTGACATTAGGAGATAAGAAGCCTTGTACCATCTTGCCACATCCTATAGAGCCCTGAGCTACCAAACTAAAAGACCAGCTACCCGGGGGCAGCAATGCTGAAGCTATGCATGCACTCTGAATGACAGTCTCATCTGAGCTCTGCCTTCCAGCTATCCCACAAAATAATAAGATACAATAGAAAACTCTGTTTTTAAGCCACTAAATTTGGTATGCAGCAACACATAACTATATGTTAACATTTATAGAAGTTATTTTTGTGCTAGACTCTTAATTCTATATACTAGAATATCCCATGAGAATACTAGAACATGTGCTAGGATATCCCCAAAATAAAATTTTAACAAAAGTGTATGTCATAAGTTAAATTACTGGCAATAACCATGTAGTTGATATATATGTTCATCCATAAAGAGAAATTAGGAAATTTACTGAGTAAAGGAAAACAACAGAAAATTACCATTAAAGATATGTGACATGTTAAATTGAAATCTTATTAAAATTGCACATTATTTTTAATCTGTGTTTAGTGTATAGTCAATACTTTAAAAATGTGACTCAAAATAACAACACAAATCATAGAACAAAAAAAATTGTGCTTTCTGGTACATCCATCTTGTTAAGAATATTAAGCTATATAAATATATGGATTAATTACTAACCTGGCATTTCCTCTGTCCTACAGTCTTGTGTGAATCGAGCAGCACTTTGACCAAATGGGGTACTTTTCAGTCCTGGTGTTTTCTTCAAGGAATTAAAAGCAGTTCGAGATTCATTATATGTGCCAGGAGCTGGAGTGATTGATTTCATAGGTACAAATCTCTGGTAAAGAACAGGAAAATAAGCCAATAAGAAATGTACCATAGTACATTTTGATATTTCATGAGTTAAAAGCTGCCTTCTTAGTCAATATAATATTTGGAGTTTATTTCTTCATGAAGTAAAAAAATAGAGATGAATTAAGATATTGTACCTATCAAAACATAAAATATATAGCTTTTAGTAAAATCATATATATATATATATAATATATATATATAATACAGTAATGCATTACATACTTTACTAAGCCAAATAGACATTTTGGAGGAAATCATCTCAAGATGAGATTCTAGATAATAACATATGTATAATCTTCACATTTAAATTATTCTGCAAGTTAAAATAACAAATAAAAAACTATATGGTCTAACATGGTTTCTTCTATGTAATAAAATTCACAAATTGACAAAGTTCCATGACATATATATTCAATTAACTCAACAATATCATTAAGTAGCTTTAAAAATCTTAGATTTAAGTGATATATAAATCTGGTTTAGCTTATAATATTAAACTTATTATATTATGAACACAAAAAGTTTATTATAAATATTATAAATTTATATTTAGCTTAATATATATGTATCTATAGGTATAACTGAACTCTTCTTGTAAAATATAGTATTGTATATTTTGAAACTTTTTATTTGGTATTAATTTCAAATTTATGGGAATCTCTGGGTGGCTCAGTGGTTTAGTGCCTGCCTTTGACCCAGGGCGTGATCCTGGAGTCCTGGGATCGAGTCCCACATCGGACTCCCTGCATGGAGCCTCCTTCCCATCTGCCTGTGTCTCTGCCTCTCTCTTTCTCTCTATGTCTCTCATGAATAAATAAATAAAATCTTTAAAAAAGTAAAAATAAAACAATTTCAAATTTACAAAAAAAGTGCATGAATAAAAATAATTCATAAAATACATGTATAATGTTTACCCAGAGTCACCCATTGCTAACATATCATTTGCTTTTTTAATTTGCCCACACTGTTTCTGTCTCTTTATGTCCATTCCTTCCTCTCTATCTCCCTGAGTGTGTCTATATGCACACATATGCACACACACAGACATACATGCAGCATGTATATACAACCATTTAATAGGAAGTTATATATATTATGGCCTTTTACCCTCAAATACTTTGGTGTATATTTACTAAAAGTATGGATTTTTTTTTTACATATCTGAAGCACAGTTACCAACTTTAGTAAACGTACCAATGATATATTTTTACCTAATCAACTATTCATATTCCAAATCTATCAGTTGATCTAATAACACCTTGTTGCATTTTCTCCCTTTAGTATATAATCTAGTCTAGGTTCAGATATTGCTTTTAGCCTCCTTTAATATTAGAACATTTCTTAAACCTTCCTTTGTATTCTGTAACTTTGGAAGAATATAGCACTCCACCTTTGTATAATAAAACTTTCATTAGTTGGGACTTCTCTGATGCTTCTTCATGATTATATTCACATTATGCATTTCTGGACAGCATACTAAATAGGTGGTGTAGCTTTCTCAGAGTATCATATGTAGAGATACATGATGTTCTTGAACCTCAATTGTCATTTTAATTTTATAAAACTGAATACTCCCTCTACATTTATCAGTAAGCAAGAGCCCTCTCTTCTCTCCCAATTATTCATTTCATTATTTATCTACTTATGTATTTATAATCCATATGAAAATATGAATGCAGGCAGCCCAGGTGGCTCAGCAATTTAGTGCCGACTTCGGCCCAAGGCGTGATCCTGGAGACCAGGGATTGAGTCCCATGTCAGGCTCCCTGCATGGAGACTGCTTCTCCCTCTGCCTGTGTCTCTGCCTCTCTCTCTCTCTCTCTCTCTCTCTCTCTCTCTCTCTCTCTCTGTCCCTCATGAATAAATAAATAAAATATTTTAAAAAAAGACAATATGAATGCCAGTTTTGACATTTATAATTGATCACTATTTTTTTTACCAGTAGGGATCCCTTCAAGTTGGTTCATATGTCCCGAAGATGTGCCGTCATCTTTTTTTTTTTTTTTTTGAGACTTTTCTTATTTTGTGACATAACAAGATGTTACAGGTTCATCTTCCACCTACTTTGTCCAGTCCCTATTTCTTGGCTTATTTACTAAGCTAGGATATATTTCTGTATATCTAACTATCCATACCTATACCCATATCTATACACACACACATACTCATGGAGACACCTATAACATATACTTTAGGAAGTCAAGAGTTCACATCAAACCTTCTATTCAAATCTATCATACAAGGTTCATTTTAATCTCTCCTAATCCAAATTTGTATGTACCTTCTTCCAAGTGAAAACTCTGATTCACAATATTGACGTTTTTGCTTAGGATAATACACCTAAAATAGTTTCTTACTACTTCACCCATACTATTATAATAAACCAACTTCCTAAAAATAATTCAGAATTCATTTGTAATTCTTGCACTCACTATCCCTTCCAACTCTATCCTATCCAAGACTGATGTAGTAAAATACTGACGTTACATGGATGTTTCTGTCCCACGTCTTCAATATGGTTAAAAGTATTCACTTATAATATAATGGCATATTTGTTTCCATTTGCTTTCAGGTTTAGGGCTTTTATTTTAAGCCTTCTCATTCTTATCTACTTATTTTTATTTGAATATATAGGACATTGACATGCTTCAAAAAGACAAAAATGTATTTTTAAAAGTATACTTGAAGACCTCTGCCTTCATTTCCCTTCTACCCCATGGATTCTACGCCACTGAAGGAAAATAGTCCAAGTTTATAACATTTGGGAGGAGGGGCAAGGTGGCAGGAGAGTAGGGGTCCTCAACTCACCTGATCCCACAACTTTACCTAGATAACTTTCAAAACATCCTGAACACCTATAAATTTGACCTGAGATTTAAAGTGAGAACACCTGGAATTCTACAGAGAGAAAAGTTTTTGCTTCTAACAAGGTAGAAGGCGGAAAAAAATAAATAAATAAATAAATAAATAAATAAATAAATAAATAAATAAGAATAAAGTGAGGGAGGAGCACCATGCTAAAGCAGAGCAGTAAAAAATTCTGGGACAGGATAGCCCAGCCCTGGAGAAGTGGGAACTTTAAAAATTCGTGCCAGAGTTTTCCCTGATGGAAAAGGGCTTTGGAACAATAGCAGGGAAATCAGACAAAATCCAAGGAGGGGCAGTGAGGCCACAGGATTCCCAGAGTAACTATAAGAGGAGGGGCATCTGGGAGGAAAGCTCACCACAAACTCCTGTCTGATAACAGCAAAGGGCTGCAGCCCTCCGGGATATTTGGGAGAAGCAATCAGTTAGGTGGGCCAGCTCCAGATGGGGGTGGCCATGCCCCCATGCTCCAGGCCATGCCTGGAGAGGCAGCCTCCAGGAGTGGGTTCAGTGGCACAGGGCCCCAGATCCCAGGGTGTCCAAATGGACAAAGCTGCAATCCTGCATTCCTCTGGGACAGGCATAAGTGAGTAGGGCATAGGACAGCGAAAACTCTCCTGCCACTGGGCACCCCTAAGCAGTGCAGATCAGTGCACCTGTGCCAGACCCAGGAGCATCTAGGCCAGTGCAGACTGGGAGACTGCATCAGTTACTCACAGGTAGCTCAACTCCAGAGCTGGAAATTTGGCACCACCATTGTTGTTTTTCCTCCTAGTTTCATCCTGTGCCTGGGAGAGGTGGGGCCACTAGGGAACAAAGGCCTCCCAAAAGAAACAGCTCATACTGAGCCCCGCACTGGTGACGGGAGGGTCATCTCAGCCCAGACACAGACATCTAAGAATCAGCACAGCAGACCTCTCCCTGAGAAGACAGCTGGAAGTACAAGGGAAGAGCAAGTTCTTGACCAAGCAGCACTGGAAAGCTCCAGGACCAAGGGAAAATAATATAGAGAACTAGAGAATCCCCCCCTTTTTTTTTTCCTTTTTCCATTACAACTCATTTTTATATAAGACTAAAAATTTCCAGCATTTTTTTTCTTTCCCCACCTTAACTACAATATTTTACCAGCTCTTCATTTTTAAGTTTTTTTCCTTTTTTACTTTCATATTTCTACAATTACATGTCTTAGATATATTTTTGAGTCCTGGATTCCCTTCAATGTACTCAATTTAATTTGGGGAGATATACGAGATATAGGTTTTGTTTTGTGTTTTTTTTGTTTTCTTTGTCTAGTTCTGACTACAATGACAGAAGCTAATGCCTTCTAAAACATGACCATCATACACCAAGTGGAATACCGTGCTGGTTCATTCTATGAAATTATATACTCTCTTCCTTCCCATTCTGCCCCCCCCTCTTATGTCTTGTTTATGTTGTGATCAATGTTGGGGCCTTCTATAAGTATTGCTGGTTTGTATAAATTTGGGATTGAGCATCTTCTAACATACAGAACAAAATACACTCAAAATCAAAAGGATCATGCTCTAGGATCCCTCAGATAGAAAACATTCTCTCTCCACTACCACTTCTTCACCACCACTATCCCTCAGCGCCGCCCCCCCCCCTTTTTTCCTTTTTCTGTTTTTCCTCTTTACTTTTTTTTTCTTTTCTTCTTTTACTTTTTTCTTCTTCTTTGGGGTTTTTGGCCTTTTATTTTTTACCACTTTGTTTTAAATTCGTTTTTCACTTTAGTGGTCCTTTTGTTTTATTTTGTTCTGATCTTCTTTATCATTTTCTGGTCTCTGACATTTTCGGAATAATCTAGGGTGGATTTTATTAGGTCGTGGTTGATATTTTTAACTCAGCCCAATAACACAACCACTCTTTACTGAATAAAATGACTAGAAGGAAGAATGCACCAGAAAAGAAAGAACCAGAAACAGTACTCTCTGCCACAGAGTTATAGAATATGGATTTCAATTCAATGTCAAAAGCCAATTCAGAAGCACAATTATAAAGCTACTGGTGGCTCTGGAAAAAAGCATAAAGGATTCTAGAGACTTTGCTACTGAAGAATTGAGATCTAATCAGGCCAAAATTAAAAATAAACTAAATGAG